CCAATAAACTCCTTGCCTAAAGCGCTTTGTTGAAAATTTTTAATTACTTGAAATGATTAATGTAATGCTCAGAGATCATTTTACCTCTGCTTAGCTGTGCCCTAGTAATTAATTAATTAATCTTACAGAAAGGAGGAGCATGAGAGTCGTGAATGATCAAAATTTTAAAACAGGAACTGAAGAGCAAAGAAGACCACTCCTGAGGAAGGAGTCACTGCCCCTCCCCACAGCTCACAAGGAGGAGAAACAGCATTTCAAAAGTAGATTTGTAAATCATGATAACAAGAGTCGGGGGTTGATTATGTAACTTCCCACATTTTTGTATGTAAAACCCAAAGTTTGATATTTATGGAATCGCACAATGCCTTTTCCAGGTTTCTTGTTTACAATAAACTTTATGGCAGAATATTTCAATTTATGAATTCCAGCCAGGCTTCTCTCTAATGAGAATACAGCCTGTTTGGGTTTTAAAGCATCCTGACATTTAAAGATGTTTACTTTGGGCCACTAAAAACCACAGAAATGTTCCCCTGCTATAAAAATTTTGATCTATTATACTTGAAAAACATAATACGAAAAATCCCTAGGCAATGAATCTTCCTTTGTGGTAAAACAACACTCTTTTCTCACTTCTCTGACAAGTGGCAGTGTTATTTACAAAGCTGACTTAGATAGGATGGCACATAAATATAGCCACATATTTTGGTCAAAGCTGTCAAATAAATGTTTTACCTTGAAAGGCTAATTCAAAAGCCATTTTCCCTTCCCGTGGTGTACATGGTGCCTTCTAGAATAAACACAGGCCCAGGACACATACACAACCGATGGAGAATGATCCTGGCTTAAAATTGTAGCTATGCTAAAGAAGTTGATCAGCAACCACGCCAGGGTGTTCCCACAAGAAAGTCAGAGACCCCTCTTGATCATTCCAGTCACTAATTGGGAGAAAATCAGACTACAACCAAACCAGTGTGCCAGTCTGTCAACCTCTGCTCAGAAACATTTTCTTAGATGGGCTAACTCCACTTAAACTTCAAAGGGTCAAAGCAGATTACAAGTTGATGAAGAAGAATAGCAGAACGAATGCCAAGCTCCTGAAACGCTGTGCCCCTGACAGAGACACCAACTCCACACTTGGCCATCCTTCCAACCCAAAGGGGTCCTAACCTCCAGTGTCATAGCTTTCTCCATCTGCTGCAAGTCAAGTTCCTGCACTGGCTTCTGATCATTATATCATTAGTATCTTCATAACTACAGCCATCGAGTTTTAAAAACTCATTCTATTGATAAGACTAAACCCATTTCATTCAAAAGTCAATTTGTGTCCCCTTGGGCTTGCTATCCACAGGTCTGACTTAAGAATGACAAGGCTAGACATGGCAAACAATCCAAGGTGGTGATTTTTCTAATGTCTATAACCTACAAGAATAAGCCTGTCAAATCCTCTGTGCTTATAGCATGGGTAGATAGTAAACACTTATATTTCAGAAAACCATTGAATAAATTGTGCTATGCCATAAAATGAAGCTTTAAGAAACAGTAATGGACACAGAAGAGTTCCGTGTCCTTAAACATGAGTGCGTTCCTTCTATAATCCACCCACCACTTACATCTAAAGCACCCTAATGGCCTGTTAATAGGTTGCCCCTCCAAGTCCACCTTCCCTCTTTCTAGTTCTCACAACTGTTCAAAAAGTCTTTCTGTAATCACTGTTAGTTCATATAGGCCCTTCCAGATCCTTACTTCCTTAATCTAATTAGGATCTCCTTGAACATATAAAAACAACCATAGCACGTACAAGAAGGAAATGATAGAAGAAAATTTCCCAAATATAGGGAAAGAAATGGACATCCAAATACACATGACTAGAAAAGAACCTCTCCATGACCTATCATAGGCTAAACATTAAAAAATAAATTCAATGAAAAGAAAAAATAAAAAGAAACAATACTCAAAACCACATGGGAAAAATACCAATTCACCTATAAGAGAAATTCATTACAATATAATAAGATCTCTCATAACTGTAAGAGTCAGGAAATTATGGAATAATATACTTCAAGCTCTGTCAACAGAGATTATTATGCCCAGAAGAGTAATCTCTTAAAATTAAGAATAAAATTATTAAGAAACAAGCACAAATAAGGTCTATTTATAAAAGCCAAGGCAGCACTGAAAAGGTATTTAAAGAGATACTATACACAGAGAAGGAAAGATGGTTCCACATACCAGACAATAAGAAAGTCTACATGTTTAAAGAAATAGGTGGGTAGAGGAGCCTTGTGAAGAAATCCATAATTTCCAATCCAGTAAATCCCTAATACTAAAAGGGAAAGAAGAAAAATAGCTGCCAATAATCCAAATAATAGGCCAACTAGTTTATAATTATGTGGACCTCTATGTGTTTATTTGGGACTGAATGGCTGCTGGACCAGGCAGGACAGGAAGTACTGTTAACAAATGGCACCAGCATAGACAACTAAATCCACTTAAAACATCAGAGAGTTTGGGAAGGAATTCTAAACACAAAAGAACAGAGTCGAACATGGCTTCTTGGTAGCAGCATTTTCTCGGGTGGGCTCTGTTCACTAGAGGCAAACATGCCTCATGTAAGAGAGGTATCCTGACTCGGCTTTAACTATAAAAACCTTGCAGCTGTTTCCAGACCACCCACCAGCAAACACTTAAATGGTGTTTATGAATAGCTGACAGCCTGCTTCTTGGTGGTGGCAGGGACCTTGAAACTCCACAGATAGAGTTGTGGCAATAAACACTGTTTCTGCCAGTACCTCTCCACGAAGCTAGACTCTCAGAAAGCTAAGGAATGGGATGGATCCAGCTGTCAAAGTCACGGCTTTAATCCTAGCCATATCACTTAGCAAATTAGAGACTCATGTGGTCAGAAAAAGAGAGATATATAGTAAAGATAGATTCAAATGAAAAAAACCTCTAAATGGTTTAGAGTGTGTTTAAAAATATATGTAGGCTTGGGAGAAAAAAGAAAAAGGATAAAACCGAGAGAGAGAGAGAGAGAGAGAGAGAGAGAGAGAGAGAGAGAGAGAG